TAATAGGAAACAGGTGTACACAATCAAAACAAAACAAGTCAAACACAGAAACATAGATCGGTGGCAGCTAGTACTCCGGGGACGACGAACGCCGAAGCCTGCCCGAGCAAGGAGGAGGAGCAGCCTCGGCTGATTCCGTGACAGACAGAGACAGCTGCAAACTGTATTGAAGAGAGACGCACCAGATAAACTATTTTAAATCTTCAAGGTTTCAGATTATTTTCACCGTACCCTATCCAGGTCCCAAGGTTTTAGATGGTACACTACTAGACCATTTGTGTTGTGGTTTTTCACTATGAGCTAAAGGGGTTAAGAGGGTACTAGGCCTATGCTTTGCCATTGCACAGCCAGTAGTCAATGTTGCATTATGTGAGTACCATAAATTACTATGTTTTTGGTCACTTTACCTGGAAAACGGTGGGACACAGACCATCATAATACATTGTAAACAACTACCATGCTTTCATGTTTCACTACATGCTGCTAGTACAAAACCACGCTATTTTTTTCATTGTACTACCATGGTTCATTTGTGTACCATGGTAGCTAGTACAATTAAATAAATATGTTTTTTGGGTACCATGGTATTTGCACCAGTACCATGTTATTTTTCTGCCATGATAGTGACCAAAAAAACATGGTATTTTTTAAATTGTACTACCATGCGACTTTTTTGTAAGGGTATGAACCAGCCATGACTATTCAACAAAACAAGGAGTTTTGAAGCCGAGGGTGCAGTATTTATGAAGTTTTGCAATGAGGGCGAAATGAGGGTGAAAACTATCATAGTTCAGCTAGTCAGCTAGTTAAGCCAGGGAAAACAAACCTGGGACAGGATATAGCTGGGCGCACATGTAGGGCTGTGGCGGTCACGAAATTTGGTCAGCCAGTGATTGTCAAGCAAATAACTGTGGGTCTCACGGTAATTGACCGTTAATTAACATAAACACATGTAGCATCTCCTGGCACCACACATAGCCAACAAGCCACTGATACAGACCTTTGGAACATCTACATTTAAAAAAGTCTAATAAATCCATGTAATATAGCCTACACCTTCACAATATATCCATTATTTATTTTAGACAGGTCTAAAGAAAAATGATATAAATAGCATACTCTGAGTTGTCCTTATGTTAGGTCCTGATCTGGCTATGCCATATGGCTGTGGGCTACACTAGTTCATTTAGCAGACAAGATTTGGTTAGTATTCGGTGGCATTATTTTATATTATTTTATAGTATGAAGAATACAATTGAACAAAGCTGAATAAAATAGAAAGGATATTTTCTCCAAACGATTTGAGGGAGTGTGCACATGCGGCTATTCTGTGTTGAGCGGTTAACAAAGAAATAGGTACTACTATACACATAATTTAGAGTTATTAATGTAACTTTAGTTGTTCTACAAACGTTGGGCTATTTGTTTTGATTTTTAATACATTGTAAGGCTGCATGATGCAACTCTGATGATTTGAAAAAAGCATGAGCACTGCTTGTTTTTTTGTGCAAGCACTTGATAATGCCTCGAATTTCCCAGCAGCATCCCCTTTGTGTGGCCATAATGTACCCTGTCAATCTACTATCCCCCATAGTGCAAAAGTTGACCTATTCTACTCTGTGCGATAAATAAATATTCCAAACATAGTCTGGGACAGTTGTGTGATGCGATAGATCCCAAATTAATACAACCGCTAGCATCAAAATAACTTTTTTATGCAATGAGGCTGACGCAACAGATCCGAACATTTAGCTTAAAATGTGATAAACTATTAGGCTATTTCTTCACATTATAAGCTCAGCAATGCGCACACAGTAGGCTATAAGCGCGAATGTTACTTTAGCGGGAAAACGGCATTATCAAAAGTCACCGCAAATGCGATTATGCGTGTAATGCTTTTATTATAAAGGTGCATTTTTATAGTGAAAACGATCTTCTCCAAACTTGAAACTCACGCGCTGCTTATGTACATTGGGGAACATGTACATAACGCGCTGCTTATGTACACATGTACATTTAGTCAGCCACCAATTGTGCAAGTTCTCCCACTTAAAAAGATGAGAGAGGCCTGTAATTTTCATCATAGGTACACGTCAACTATGACAGACAAATTGAGAAGAAAAAAAATCCAGAAAATCACATTGTAGGATTTTTAATGAATTTATTTGCAAATTATGGTGGAAAATAAGTATTTGGTCACCTACAAACAAGCAAGATTTCTGGCTCTCACAGACCTGTAACTTCTTCTTTAAGAGGCTCCTCTGTCCTCCACTCGTTACCTGTATTAATGGCACCTGTTTGAACTTGTTATCAGTATAAAAGACACCAGTCCACAACCTCAAACAGTCACACTCCAAACTCCACTATGGCCAAGACCAAAGAGCTGTCAAAGGACACCAGAAACAAAATTGTAGACCTGCACCAGGCTGGGAAGACTGAATCTGCAATAGGTAAGCAGCTTGGTTTGAAGAAATCAACTGTGGGAGCAATTATTAGGAAATGGAAGACATACAAGACCACTGATAATCTCCCTCGATCTGGGGCTCCACGCAAGATCTCACCCCGTGGGGTCAAAATGATCACAAGAACAGTGAGCAAAAATCCCAGAACCACACGGGGGGACCTAGTGAATGACCTGCAGAGAGCTGGGACCAAAGTAACAAAGCCTACCATCAGTAACACACTACGCCGCCAGGGACTCAAATCCTGCAGTGCCAGACGTGTCCCCCTGCTTAAACCAGTACATGTCCAGGCCCGTCTGAAGTTTGCTAGAGTGCATTTGGATGATCCAGAAGAGGATTGGGAGAATGTCATATGGTCAGATGAAACCAAAATAGAACTTTTTGGTAAAAACTCAACTCGTCGTGTTTGGAGGACAAAGAATGCTGAGTTGCATCCAAAGAACACCATACCTACTGTGAAGCATGGGGGTGGAAACATCATGCTTTGGGGCTGTTTTTCTGCAAAGGGACCAGGACGACTGATCCGTGTAAAGGAAAGAATGAATGGGGCCATGTATCGTGAGATTTTGAGTGAAAACCTCCTTCCATCAGCAAGGGCATTGAAGATGAAACGTGGCTGGGTCTTTCAGCATGACAATTATCCCAAACACACCGCCCGGGCAATGAAGGAGTGGCTTCGTAAGAAGCATTTCAAGGTCCTGGAGTGGCCTAGCCAGTCTCCAGATCTCAACCCCATAGAAAATCGTTGGAGGGAGTTGAAAGTCTGTGTTGCCCAGCGACAGCCCCAAAACATCACTGCTCTAGAGGAGATCTGCATGGAGGAATGGGCCAAAATACCAGCAACAGTGTGTGAAAACCTTGTGAAGACTTACAGAAAACGTTTGACCTGTGTCATTGCCAACAAAGGGTATATAACAAAGTATTGAGAAACTTTTGTTATTGACCAAATACTTATTTTCCACCATAATTTGCAAATAAATTCATTAAAATGTGATTTTCTGGATATTTTTTTCTCATTTTGTCTGTCATAGTTGATGTGTACCTATGATGAAAATTACAGGCCTCTCTCATCTTTTTAAGTGGGAGAACTTGCACAATTGGTGGCTGACCAAATACTTTTTTCCCCCACTGTATGCCAGTTAGGCTCTACACCCCTTGTAAAGCGGATTAATGTGCTTAATTTTAGGAAGTTATTTGGCCACTTTTGTTGTGATACAAACGTTATCAAAACATATAGGCCTATGGGCTAGTCTACATGAGGTGTGCGACTATGATTAGAAAAAGTCGCAAAAAAAGGCACTGTGTCTTGCGTTACGCTGGACATCATTCACAAATGATAATATATAATTCACAAGTGATAGGCTAATATTGTCACCCATCAGACTATTCTTGATTTAAAGTTTGTCTTTACATATACTAAATAATATACAGTGGGGAGAACAAGTATTTGATACACTGCCGATTTTGCAGGTTTTTCTACTTACAAAGCATGTAGAGGTCTGTAATTTTTATCATAGGTACACTTCAACTGTGAGAGACGGAATCTAAAACAAAAATCCAGAAAATAACATTGTATGATTTGTAAGTAATTAATTTGCATTTTATTGCATGACATAAGTATTTGATACATCAGAAAAGCAGAACTTAATATTTGGTACAGAAAACTTTGTTTGCAATTACAGAGATCATATGTTTCCTCTAGGTCTTGACCAGGTTTGCACACACTGCAGCAGGGATTTTGGCCCACTCCTCCATACAGACCTTCTCCAGATCCTTCAGGTTTCGGGGCTGTACCTGGGCAATACGGGTGTTTGATTAGATTTTCGATTACATTTGCATTGACGTCAGAGTTATTAGAGAGACAATAGAGTGCTGTGTACCAGGCAGTTTGCAAGTTTGGTAGGCTACTAATGACCATCAGCAGCATCAGAGCTTGTAGAAGCCTAATTAATGTGACTAAATGGTTTCGTGGAATTTCACTGCCTTCATGACTAGTGACTGCCGGTGTGGCGGTAATATGGTCAACGCAACAGCCCTACGCACATGCACACTAGGCTAATTCAGGACACAGATTGTAGTTTTTATGCCCTGATATAAGGAGTTTGGAGCAAAAAGTTCGATTAAACAATTCAGAGACTGAAACGAATACATCAGATGACAAATATTTAAGGATGGCAAATCGATATACAATCCTGAAATCAGCTGTAAGTGTCAATAGTAAAACAAAGCTTAAAACGGACGTTTGAGTGAACCTGAATCCAGAAAATGAATGGCGAAGTAGCTTCCGGACACGGTAGACTCCTCCTCGTCCTCCTCCCCCTCACCACTCCATAGTATATACTACAGTTTTCTTTTACTACAGTGTTTATACTATAGTTAACTGTAAATACTACTGTATTTTACAGTAAATACTACTGCATTCACTAAGTCAGCAAAAACACTACAGTGAATACTATTGTATTTAGTATACTAAAGTATTTTTTTATGTGGGTCTGCTTGTTCCACTCTGCTTCAGATGCCCATGTAACCTGTGTGTGTATGTTTCTGTTTACAGACGTCCATGTAACCTGTGTGTTCTCAGAGGATTGTGTCATGCCCTGCAGCTTTCAGCCTGGGAGTGAGGAAGTCATCCACTGGCTGAAAACAGAAGACAAGGACCTAACTGTCCACTCATACTACTACAGTACAGATCAGCTCAAACAGCAGAGCCTGCGTTACAGAAGGAGAACAGCCCTGTTCAATGACCAGATCCACAAAGGAAACGCATCACTGCTGCTGAGCACGCTCACACTCCAGGACCAGGGTAGATACAAGTGTTACACCAGCACTATTAGAGGCAACCAGGATTCCCTCATTGACATATCAGTGGAGGGTAAGGAAGGAAGGAAGGAAGGAATGTCTGTCTGTCTGTCTGTCTGTCTGTCTGTCTGTCTGTCTGTCTGTCTGTCTGTCTGTCTGTCTGTCTGTCTGTCTGTCTGTCTGTCTGTCTGTCTGTCTGTCTGTCTGTCTGTCTGTCTGTCTGTCTGTCTGTCTGTGATGATCACTTTATGGCTGCTCCATGCGTAATTTCTACTTTGTTGCAGCTCCAGTCCGCTTGGTGGACATACAGTTATCAGATGACATCATCACCTGCAGTTCCAAAGATATCTACCCAGAGCCTAAACTCACCTGGTCCACCGACCTTCCCTTTGATCTGCCCTTGGACCCCGGAACTATCCAGCCCAGCACCAAGGTAGATGACCAGGGCCTCTATAACATCACCAGCACAAAACAGTTTAGCAGAGACCGAACCAACATCTGTACCGTGACCTCTGGGACACGAGGGGAGACAGCAACCCTGAGACAGCAAGGTAATCAATCAATCAACTAATTAATCAAACAATTGATCAATCAACTAAATAATTCAATCAATTTATCTGGCTGCAAAACTGTACAAAAACAAGACATCACTGTGAGACAGTATCCACAAAGAGCATGCTAAAAAGGTACTTTCTCATGACATCATTTCAGATCCGGTCCAGTGTTCTCCTAGCAGTGAGGTGTCTATCCCCTGCAGGGTCCCTCAGTCTGACAACCTGACCTTCAACCTCACCTGGAGGTTTAACCAGATAGTCACTATCCTCTCCGCTACCTACACCCAGGGCACACCTCAGATGTACATTAACGACCAGTGGAAGGAGCAGGTTCAAAACATGTCAGAGTCCGGCAGCCTTCAGCTCCACAGGCTAACTGTGATCCACCAGGGGAACTACAGCTGTGAACTCTCTACTTCCAGAGACACACACCTGGTCCTCACCTACCTAGAGATCACACCGGATAAACTATCTGCTGGTAATATAAACATACGTTTAATTTAGACCAGACTTCTGCTTATAGTTCTGTCCTGATATCATCTTGATTTAACTAAGAGCTAGATTCAATCCAGACCACAGAAGATTTGCGTTACAGTTCGATTTACATTTAAAGGTAATTTCCGATGGAGCCGACATATGCAGCACTTACTGTGAATGCGGTCTCTGCGAACGCAGAAACATTGTCGTTAAAAGGTACATAGCCGAAAAATGCAGATCGAATTGTATCTAGCCCTAAATATTGATGCTTACGGTTGTCATCGGTATACATTGTCATTGCCAGTATCATTGGTAATAAAGTGATAGACATTCTCTTTCCTGTCACTGTCTCAGGGACCATTATAGGCACCATCGTTTGTAGTCACTATAGCAGCAGCAACAGCAACAGCAGTAGGGGTATTGTTGTATCTTAAAAAGAGAGGTAAGATGGACACCATATTCAGCCTCTATTGAACCATTTAACACCATGATGTCCTGGATGTACTAGTCAAGGAGATGACAGTGATAGTTGAATTTGATTGTATTGTACAGACCGGGAAGAGACCTCATCAAAAGGAGAGGGCAATTCAGGTACAGTAGGATTGACTATTATGTGTATTTGCATCAAGTGATAGTTTAAAGTGGAAATATGTAACTTTTTGGGCGACCCGACCAAATTCACATAGAAATGTGAGTTATAGATCTATAATTCTAATTGAAAGCAAGTCTAAGAACCAGTAGATCTCTTCAATGTGCGCTATTTCTATGCTTACCATTCTTAAGTTTAGTTTTTGCTTCTTTTACTTTCAGTTTTGTACACCAGCTTCAAACAGCTGAAACAACAATATTTTGGTTATGGAAAATATATTTCAAAGCGGTTTAGATGGTACAATGATTCTCTACAATATACTAGCTTATTTAGTCACATAAACTGAAATTGGGCTAACTATTAGAGATTTAGCAACCAGGAAATGGCGGAGCGATTTCTGCATAGTGCAACTTTAAGATCTGTTTGGGTGATATATTAGACCATGTTCATGTGACTGACTAACAATCCCTCTTCGTGTAGATAATCAGGTTAATGAACATAAGGAACTCAACCAGCCCCTGAATGAAGGAGGGGAGGAGAGGAAGACAGAAGGACAACCAGTAGCGGAGGGTGATGAAGAATGACTGGGGAATGACTGGGGGGGAAGTGTCTCAGTGTTCTACAGGAAGTGTTTACACTAACTTACTTGACTTACAACCTTTTGCTCTTTGGGGAGCATAGGTTATTCACAAACTTCTTCCATCAGAATCAGTTTTGACAGGATAATACACTGATCCAGAGTTATTATTTTACATTTTTATATGTTTTTCTTTAAGCCATTTTGCCACAACTTTGGAAGTATGCTTGTGGTCATTGTTCATTTGGAAGACCCATTTGCGACCAAGCTTTAACTTCCTGACTGATGTCTTGAGATGTTGCTTCAATATATCCACATAAGTTTCCTTCCTCATGATGCCATCTATTTTGTGAAGTGCACCAGTCCCTCCTGCAGCAATGCACCCCCACAGCATGATGCTGCCACCCCCATGCTTCACGGTTGGGATGGTGTTCTTCGGCTTGCAAGCGACCCCCTTTTTACTCCAAATATAACGATGGTCATTATGGTCAAACAGTTCTATTTTTGTTTCATCAGACCAGAGGATATTTCTCCAAAAAATATGATCTTTGTCCCCATGTGCAGTTGCAAACCGTAGTTTGGCTTTTTTATGGCGGTTTGGAGCAGTGGCTTCATCCTTGCTGAGCGGCCTTTCAGGTTATGTCGATATAGGACTCGTTTGACTGTGGATATAGATACTTTTGTACCTGTTTCCTCCAGCATCTTAACAAGGTCCTTTGCTGTTGTTCTGGGATTTATTTGCACTTTACACACCAAAGTACGTTCATCTCTAGGAGACAGAACGCGTCTCCTTCCTGAACGGTATGACGGCTGCGTGGTCCCATGGTGTTTCTACTTGCGTACTATTGTTTTTACAGATGAACGTGGCGTTTGGAAATTGCTCCCAAGGATGAACGAGACTTGTGGAGGTCTACAAAAAAATGTCTGAGGTATTGGCTGATTTCTTTTGATTTTCCCATGATTTCAAGCAAAGAGGAACTGAGTTTGAAGGTAGGCCTTGACATACATCCACAGGTACACCTCCAATTGACTCAAATTAGCCTATCAGAAGCTTCTAAAGCCATGACATCATTTTCTGGAATTTTCCAAGCTGTTTAATGGCACAGGAATTGTGATACAGTGAATTATAAGTTAAATAATCTGTCTGTAAACAATTGTTGGAAAAATTACTAAGTAGATGTCCTAACCGACTTGCCAAAACGATAGTTTGTTAACAACAAATTTGTGTAGTGGTTGAAAAACACGTTTTAATGATATATATATATATATATATACACATACATACAGAGGGTGTACCCCCCCCCCCCACTATCCACATCGACGGGACCGTAGTGGAGAAGGTGGAAAGCTTCAAGTTTCTTGGCGTACACATCACTGACAAACTGAAATGGACCACCCACACAGACAGTGAGTTGAAGAAGGCACAACAGAGCCTCTTCAACCTCAGGAGGCTAAAGAAATGTGGATTGAGACCTAAAACCCTCACAAACTTTTACAGATGCACAATTGAGAGCATCCTGTCGGGCTGTATCACCACCTGGTACGGCAACTGCACCGCCCGCAGGGAGAGGGTGAGATAGCAGGTCAGAGGCTGGAGTAGGGCTCTTATGGTGACCGTATTACCGCCACACCAGCGGTCACGAGTCATGACCGCAGTCAAATTCCACGTGATCGTTTAGTCACGGTAATTAGGCTTCTCCAAGCTCTGATGCTGCTGATGGTCATTAGTAGCCTACCAAACTTGCTAACTGCCTGGTACTCAGCACTCTATTGTCCCTCTAATCACTCTGACATCAATGTCAAATGTTTTCAACAATCAAATCAAACACTTCATGAGAGCCCATGAGCTCATGTTGTGCAACCTTTCTATAGGCTATGCAATTGTGTGAGGAAACAGAGTTTTGATGGCCTCTATTAAAAAGAGCAGCTTTCTATAGGCTAGGCCTACTATATTTATTTACCAACTTTCCTAATATTAAGCACATTGCTTCGCTTTACAACAGGAGTGTAGCCTACCTGGCTGGCATGAAATTGAACCACAGGAAAAGCGTCCTACATTCGCTATTAAAGTGCATAGATGACATGTATTATTTTCCACTGCCCCTATTCCAAGACAGGTGCATGATAATGGTCCATTCTAAATCAAAACAAATTTCACACGTATATTATTTAGTGCATTCGGAAAGTATTCAGACCCCTTGACTTTTTCCACATTTTGTTACGTTACAGCCTTATTCTAAAATGGATTCAAAAGATTTGTTTTCTTCATCAATCTATACACAGTACCCCATAATGACAAAGTGAAAAATGTTTTTATTTTTATTTTAGGAAATACCTTATTTTTTACAGTGTAAAGATAGGAATACAAGAGAACATTTTAGGAAGGAATTTAAGAAAAAACAGCATATGTTTCATAAAAGACTGTGCCTATTCAAACAGAGGTATCAGAGAGGGCAATTATTACACCTTGAGGAAGAATTTTATAAAGACATATGTTCCCTGAGAACTAAACGGGAAAATACAATGTTAGAACCCTCATATATGTAACCCATACTTAAATGAGGAGCTGTCTGTAGCAGAAGTTAAGGTGATTGACACTGCAAAAAATTAGAAAGCATTTGGCATTGCCTAATGAAGTTTTAAAATCCCCTAAATTAATTGACGTCCTATATGATTTGCTCCAAATTTGTTTTGAGTACAGTATACTGCCATCCACTTGGTATAAGTCTATAGTGAATCCCATTCCCAAATCTTCAAACAATGACCAGAGAATGCCACTGAACCATAGAGGCATACGTTTATTAAGTATATTCATCCATCCTCAACAATAGGCTAATTACCTTTTTGGAGGATGAAAACATTCTGGTGGAAGAACAAAATGATCCAGAGCCTGTATAGATCATATCTTCTCGGTCTGTACAATAATCAGAAATAGATTACAAGAAAGAAAAGCCTACTTTTGCATGTTTCATTGATTTCCAGAAAGCTTTTGATTTTGTATATAGGGATCTTTTAGCCTATGGTTTGTTAAAGACAGGGGTTGATGGGACATTTTATCATGCAATCCAGCCTCTTTACAAAGTACCAATTGCTTGTGTGCGTGTTAATGAATATCGTACAGATTGGTTTCCCACACCCTCGGGTGTAAAACAAGGAGATGCCTTATCACCGACTTTGTTTGCTATGTTTATAAATGATTTGGCAAAATAAATTAAACAGTTAAATATTGGAGTAAGTATCCTTTTATATGCTGATTATATTATTTTGATGGCAGAAACTGAACAAGACCTCCAGAACATGTTATTATTGGCAGTCAATTGGTGTAAAAGATGGAGACTCATGATCAACCAGACAAAAATACAGATAATGCATTTTAGAAAACCAGGTACTAAGAGAAGTGTTTTTTAGTTTTGTTTTGGTGAAGACATTCTTGAGTTTACTAGCAATTGTAAATATTTCAGTATTTCTATTGATGAACACATTACCTTTCTATACGGAACATCTGCCCTGGCTGACTCAGCATGTAGAGCTCTTGGGGGAGTTATAGGAAAAACAAAAACACTTAAAGTTATTGGTTATGCTATATTCCAAACTGTATCAGACATGCGTGTGTCCTGTTCTGGGCTATTCAGCAGGACTGGGGTGCTAAGAGGTATCTCAAAAACTAACATGTCCATAATAGAACAGTACTATAGTTTTAAGGTGTCCACAAGTTTGCACCTACACTTGCAATTACTGGGGACATGGGCTGGGAACCCTGTGAGGTGAGATGGAAGGCGTGTATGGTGAGACTTTGGAATAGACTGTTGGATATGCCAACTGCCAGAATAGCTA